ATCTGACGGATTTCTGGCCTCCAGACCGAAAAAGGAGGAAGGGACGCCCCTTCCCTGGTTTGGAAACTTCGGAAGATGTCTCCAATCTCTTCTCCACCTGCGAAGCAGAGGAGAATAGCAGATTAATAAAATAGATGCAATCTGTGGCAAGTTTTGCTAATGCTCGCTTTCTAAGTAAAAACTTACCTGAAATCGAAGCGGGTAAAGGATTTTGAGTCCTAACACTCAGTCCTTGAGATAGGGGAGCCTCCGATCTTGGCTCATCTATTTCCTCTGAAATTACTCTGTCTCCAGGAAGAGGGAGCTCGGAGTTTAAAGGTTCTGAAGAGGGAGAAACATAACGTAGAAGGCTAGAGACTCGTGGGGGAGAACTTAATCTCACAGTTTTAAGTCTCTGGTTTGATAGATTATCGGAATCTGGAGCCTTCCTCTTTGTACAAGGAGAGGAGGTTATTTCTCCCTCACACCCAGGTTCGGAAGGGCAAATTGCGGTGGCAACTGGAGGGTTGTTAAGGATCTCCGCTCCATGAGTATCTACCGCGGCTGACAGGGCTGCTTCTAACGAACCGTCATCAACCAAGAGGGTCTTCCTGTGGAAGTTACCAACCCTGGAGATTGCAGCTATCCGTTTCTTTCTCCCGATTTCAGTTAGCTGATCCTTAAGAGCCTTGATTTCAGCCTGCATCTTTCTTTTATCTTGAGCATTCAGGCTCGAGACGTCTTTCTCCTCGGGAGGAGGATCGATGGGGTGAGTCTGACCGTCTTTAATAGCGAGCCCAGCTTTATGAATGCGTTGAAGGGTGAAGGAATTCCAATTTGTTTCACCCTCGGAAACGATTCGAAAGAAGGACAAGAAGTCAACGGTTGGGCGGGGGATCGTCTGGTTCCCTGAAACAAAGTATTGGGTTAAGAATTCTATCTCTTTTACTTAATATAGTGGAAAGTAGTAAAGGTTGGATTTTTGACCAAGTTTAGCCGACCAATTGGCGAGAAGAAGACCAGAAAGACCTTGAACGGAATGGGGATTGACTCGGAAAAAGAACCAATATTTCCTCCAAGGCCCGTCATTCGAGGGCATTCCGTCGATCAGGTTACGGTCAAGGATAGGGTTTATAGAAAAAATACCCGCTGCTGCGGATTCACGAGTTCGAAATAGCCCTAAAAGTTCGCTGGTGGAGAGGGAAAACCCTGCTTCTGCCGAAACAGTCAGGGTACTCAGAACATATCGAAGAAAGTTGGGAGCCATTTGGGGAAAGGCAATCCCTAGGTGGAGGAGGTATAAAAGAATAACTTCCGGTACGGGAAAAAACAAACCACAGCCTTTGAAATAGACTTCGTACGCACAACAGTAACCCTCTCGCACCACTTCCGGAGACTCGTTGGGTCTAGGAAGAGAGAATTCAATTTCCTGGGGGATGTTACAAAGGCGGCGAAGAGCGCCAAGGGAAGCAGAGGTCGATTGAGACCTGAAATGCGGACCAAATTTGTCTCCCCTTTGGGTGAAGACTTCATCCCCTCTGGGAACAGGGATTTCTTGACTGTCATCTTTGTTTTCCGAAACATAGACGGCTGGGGAAGACATCTTTTACTAAGAGGTTTCTCTTTTTCTGGTTTGGTAAAAGCTTTAGGGGTAAATGTACGCTGCTGTAAAAGCCGTCGTTCCATTTAACCTTATTTAGCGGAAAACCGCCTCGAGAATATTGGGAAGTGGGACAGTTTTCCCCGCAGTATTAATATAAAATTAAAAAATTAATGATGACGGTTGTCAGGGATATCAAATCATCTGATTATCCGAGATCGGCGTAATAGCGTAAAACATAGAATAATTCCGGAATGCTAAAGATCTCGAGTCATTAATTACTGTTTACTTAAGTCTTCCAAGCCGAGCATTCAGCTCGCAAGACTTGGGGGGCTAAATGTTGGGGTCGGATCCCACACATCTTCGGTAGGATCCACTTGGATCTGTCCACGTCATTATTACATATTAATCCTCTTGGATTTCTAGATGTTTCATTGCGAGAATCGAGCTCGACCTGTCGGAAGTTCGATTCTGTTTATTAAAGAGCTCGATCTTTACCAGTACGGAGTTCGCTCTTATTCAACATACAGTTCGTATAAAGGAAGGCCGAAGCGAGGAGAATATTGTTCGAGGGTTCGCGGCAACGTCAAGACGTAGGAGTTCGGAGTCAACAAGAAAGAGTTTGGAAGATCCACGCGAAGCCCAAGATAGTTCAAATTCAAGCCGTTTCGGTCAAATTGTAACCTACATGATTAATGCGGATCAATGCGATTATGAGCAGTAAATGACCGCATTGATCATGTTTTCTCTATAAAAACAACCTCAAACGCATGTGTTTAGGGAGAGAACAACTTTTTACCTCTTACGATCAAGCAATACAACATACTCTTTCTTTTACAATTTCGCAAGGCTTTTTACTATTTTATTATTGCCAAGCTCTTTCGCTTTATTTAGTTTCTTGGTTACTTTCCTTTTCAAATCCTTATTTTCATTTGTTGATTTTAGAGTTTTTCTCCACAAAAATACTTAAAGACAATCGAGTGTGAATCCTACATCCACATTCATGGTCATATTGTTGTTTTTAGTTTTTGTTATTTTGTATGGTTACAAGTGTTTGTATTGTACACTTTATGACTTTGTTGTATTGCGGAAATTTCTTTTATATATATAAGTTCTGTTTGTGTTCAATACAAAACATACTTCTCATATTTCTATTACAAACATACTTCTCATATTTCTCAATCTCCTCTCAATACAAATCTTTGTCAATCCTCTCTCATTACAAATTTCTTTGTCACTTACCATTACCATTACCTCGTCAATTACCATTACCATTACCAAATTTCTTTTAATTGTTTTCCTTCTCAAATTGTTTTCCTTCTGCTTTTTATTTCTTTTAAGTTTTGCGTCTTCAAAAAATACAATGGCATCTCATTCTAATGATGATGACACTTTTGATGATTCTATGGAGAAAAGGTTTGAAAAATGTTTTGAAAATGGTTTAGATAATTACAGTAGACGTGTAGCGGGAAAAAAGAAAAGAAAAAGGGTTGCTAATATAGAGAGAGATCGCGAAGAAGGAAATGTTCGATTATAGAACGATTACTTTTCGGATGATCTCGTTTACCATGATCGCATGTTCTAACGACGATTTAGAATGAGCAAGCCGTTGTTCCTTCGTATTGTTCAAAGTCTTTGTCAATTTCCATATTTCCAACAAAAAGGGGATGCTACTGGAAAGCAAGGTCTATCTGCCCAACAGAAATGTATAGGCGCACTTCAGCATCTAGCATATGGTCTTGTAAACGATGCGATGGACGAATACCTCCGCATGGGGGCAACTACTGTGAGCCAAGCCCTAGAGCATTTTGTAGATGGCATAATAAATTTATTCCAAAATGAGTATTTGAGGAGGCCTACACTTGAGGATCTCTAACGATTACTTCATTCTGGAAAGGAATGCTGATTTTCGGGGATGGTAGGAAGCATTGATTGTATGCATTGAGAGTGGAAGAATTGTCCTACAGCTTGGAAAGACCAGTATTCACGCAGACATGGGAAACCCACTATCGTTTTAGAGGTCGTGACATCACAAGATCTATGGATTTAGCATGCTTTTTTGGGGCTCTGGGTTCGTGTAATGATATAAATGTTCTCGACCGCTCACCGGTGTTTAATGATATATTAGAAGGTCGAGCTCCACGAGTCAGTTACGAAGTCAATGGACATCAATACAAAATGGGTTTTTAGCTCACAGATGGTATATATCCGAAGTGGGCAACATTCATCCAATCAATTCCCCGACCACAAGGACCGAAAGCATCATTATTTGCTAGTTGTCAAGAAGCAGTGAGAAAAGATGTCGAGCGTGCTTTTGGAGTCTTGCAGGCTCGGTTTGCTATTATTCAAAATCCAGGTATGTTTTGGGATAAAGAGCGAATGGGCAAGATGATGAGAGCATGTATCATATTGCACAATATTATTGTAGAAGATGAACTAGACCAAGAGACTCAGTTCGATTTATCTGATTTCGTAGAAGGCGAAGGGAGCTGGACTTGTCATGTGGACAACTCTTTTTCTACAGAGACATCTACAAATGTGAATGATATGATGGCCAATCGAGCTCAAATTCGTCAAGAACAAACGCATCGACAATTGAAAAAAGATTTGATTGAGAATATTTGGAAAAAATGGGGACAAGGTAATTGACTCGTGGCGACTACATTATCTTTAACATCATGTTTTTACTGATTTTTTGAAATTTACGTTTTTTTTTTGCTTAAGTATATCCTACGTTTTTTGGATTGTTATATTACCTTTTGTAATCCTATGTTTTTATATATTTATTTTCGATTTTGCAAATAATATTTTTTAATTTATGATACCGATACCGGTATCACCAATAGAAACAGTGTGTCAAGTGTCATGAGTACGCCATGTGTCAAATCTTATTGATTCCACTTGTCATACATATCTTCGTCTCTACTTTGATGGATAATTGAGATTAATCAGAAGAATCGGTAATGTAGAATTAGGTTTTCTCTCCACCTAAAAATACATTATTTAATCCATCATAAATGCTGATGAAAAAATCAAAATACTTAAAAAATGTTTATAGGCAAGGGAATATAAATCAAGACCTCAACCTAATTAAAGATAAGGCTTTCGTCTTCCATCCAGAAAGCCATTTAGGAAGATTATGTTGCGATTAATGGAGCAAGGAAGGTTTCCTTGGCAGCTACATACTGCAAGCGGCAATATATGCAGTTTGAAGAGAAAGAAATGAGAGGAGACACAAAGGAACAAAAAACTCAGCTTCTTGTTTAATTAGATGGGTCGACAACAAGGTTCGAAACTAAATCTCTTCAATCCGGCTACTAGGAGATAGGCGATATGATGAAGGTCTCCAAATGTGGTTCTAGGCGAGACCTCAAATCTCTTTAGCTCTTTCAATTTTAAGTCATCAAAGTTATGTTTTTCAACTAGTTTTACAAACCGTCGCACTTGATGTACAAACGTTTATTTTTTCTTTAAATATAATTTAATTAACATTCTATTCAAAAAAAATATTTATGAAGCAAGATTCAAAAAATCAGTCATAGGCGGTGGCTAGGCTCCTACCTAGGTGCTAATACACCTTCGGGCGCACCGATTTTAGGAAAATATGTATATTAAATTGGTTTACCGGTTTAAACGTTCAAAACCGGTAATAATCGGTCAAAGAAGCCAAATCGACTGGTTTAGTGTATGATTTTTTTTATATCACATCAGTTTGAATAAGTGAAAAAACAAAAAAATTTTAAAAAATACTTGATTACTAAAATTGTAAATTATAGTTTAATTTATCACAATTGTTTTAGTTATTGAGATTAAGCTATTTTACTTTTCATATATAAACTAGGTGTAATTATATATAAAAAGTTCGAATATATAAAATTTTAACATTTTTTTTTTAAAACAACGTTTTGTTCTAAAATTATTAAAAATAAGTAAATAATGTACTACCGCCTATGCCCCTCTTAGGTTTCGATTAATGGATTTAGGTGCAAGACCCCTATCGAACGTCTAGCTACCGCCTATCGATCTTTTTAACATTTAATGGAGGTATTCCACTAACCTTTTTTTGTGTCTATCATGTGATTAATCTTGATATTTAAATATCTGGAGTTCATGTAAGTGATGCTTACATGTAGTATGTGAGGTAGATCTAAACATTTGTTTAATCTATTAAGTATATTAGATATATATTTTTGAATAACATTAGGTTAGAGATATGGAACTTAGGAATATTATTTAAATCTGAATTTGTTATAAAATTTTGGACATGCACAATTCGGGCAATTACGAATTAAGTTTCTCGAAAATAAAAGTTATATGCACAATTTTAGGCGTCTGTTAATTTTTTTTTTTCAGAGACAAAAAAAAGGTGTGTATGTGAAATATGAGTCTTTACGAATCAGGGGTTACAGTAAAGGAGAATTTGTGGTACCTTTTTACCGTAAAGGAAAATCGTTGTATCTCATTACGAGAAGCCGAATCCACTAACTAAAACTAGTACTGAAGATGAAAAGTGTATCTACAAACATTGGTAGAAATCAAACGAATTGAATATTAAGTTCTAATGTATGACAAAAGTTAACTTCTGACAGCAAAAAAGTCTAAGGATGATCTAAAAATCATAAAAGTACGATTTAAGACTGCCGTCATATTCTTTACAGTAAAACTTATGAAATCTCTTATAACCATGAAGCATGATAGTACAAGATCTATGCATGCATGAACATTGCATTGAAATGACCGAAAATATTACTAAGTTGAAAATTTTAGGAATGAGTGTGGATGATTTATTTCTTGTTCAATTTATCCTAAATTTGCTATCTCCTCATCATTGACCAATCAAAATTTAATTAAATTTCGTTAATGAAAACTAGTCATTGAGTGAATCGGCTAACAAACTGCTATATGAGAAGTCATGTTTAAATGTGAAGGTATTAAAATTACCTATTATGTCCAAGAAGTAGGATCTAAAGATGAGAAAATGCATCAAATGAGCTAGTCAAAAAAGAGCATCACCCAAAATGAATGATTTCAATCAAGCTAATAAGAAAAAAAATGGCAAAGAAAGATGACTTATGCAAGACTTTACATTTACATAAAGAATGCCTAAAAAGGATTAGCCGAGAAGAAGATAAGGGAAAGTTACTCAGATGTTATACAAATTAGGTGAAATGACCAAAAACATACAGATCTTTTTTTTATTACTATCATATTTCGGGTATATTTTTTATACCCAGCGTGCCCCTGTTAAACGTTACTGGAAAAAACGTAATTACAAAGAATGCCACTGCCACGTCAGCAAAGCCGCGTCGCCACGTCAGAAATCGCTGACGTGTATTAATGAACTCAGCCGTAAAGCGATACAGCGACAGTGACGGCTGAGTTACGGTATGTTGCGGCTGATTTATGAAAAATGGCTGAGTTATAAGCAAACGGCTGACTTACGAGTATAACCCAGCCTGGAGTTACGGCTGACTTACTGAAATCTGTCTGAGTTATGAGAAAATGGCTGACATTCGAGCATAACCCAGCCTAAGTTACGGCTGAGTTTTCACCCGATGGTTGATTTGTCAAATTTTTGGCTGAGTTATTGCTTTGACACGGTTAACTTAACTTTCTCCAGCTGGCTGAGTTATAAAGACGGCTTAGTTATGGGATTACGTTACGGCTGATTTATGTTCGAGTGTCATAAATCAGCCGTAATGAGCTGGATTAACGGAAAACTCGGCCTCATTACGGCTGACTTAGTAGCGAAAGATTAATTACTAGAATAACATGCAATGACGGCTGATTTATTAAATGTTACGGCTGAGTTAAAGATTTTTGGTTGAGTTACGACATTAAACGGCTGAATTTGGCTGCTGTTTTTTCGTTTTTTAATTACTGTAATAGTATTCATGTTGCGACTGAGTTAAATTTTTGTTTGATGGCTCGTTTAATTAGGCTGATTTACATTTTCGTTTGGTGGCTTACTTGCCACTTCATAAATTAAAAAATGACGTGGATGCAACATTCCATGTCATCATCATCAAAGGAAAAAAAAATAGGGCCAAATTTTTTCAACTCGTCTTCTTCACCAGAGTTTTTCACATCACCGGAACTTCCAATTCCTCATCGTCTTCCTCATTCTTCTTCAATTTCTTTCATCCTTCTCCCGATATAGTTGATCCGGTTTCGGTAATTGTTGTTTCCGGTAATTGGGTATAGAAACACAAATACGTATTTAACACCGATGAAAGAGGGTGTAGAGTTGTGCGACATATGCGGAAACAACGCACGAAAAACTTGTGAAGTTGGTGGTCGATGATAAAGTTAGACGAAATGTTGCGTCTCTTATTGTTTCGCGGCAAATTTACATGTCACGGCTGAGTTATATGCTTAAGGGAAGACGAAAGATTAGGTCAATTTACATGTCACGACTGAGTTATATGTTCCAGGGAAGACGAAAGGTTCGGTAAAATTACATTACGGCTGAGTTATATGCTTAAGGAAAGACGAAAGGTTCGGTCAATTTACATGTCACGGCTGAGTTATATGTTCCAGGGAAGACGAAAGGTTCGGTGAAATTACACTACGGCTGAGTTATATGTTTAAGGGAAGACGAAAGGTTCGGTAAATTTACATGTCACGACTGAGTTATATTCTCCAGAGAAGACGAAAGATGGGTGTAAATTATGTTACGGCTGAGTTATATGCTTCAGGGAAGACGAAAGGTTCGGTAAATTATATGTCACGACTGAGTTATCATTCAGTGAAGACGAAACGTTGTGTAAATTATATGTTACGGCTGAGTTACATCACGTTACGGCTGAGTTACATCACTTTACGGCTGATTTATAATACAGATCGGAAAGCAACATTTTTTTGGAGAAGACAATATGAAATTTATTAGTCAAATAACAACAATCAAATTAAGAAACGTAAAAATATGTTTGAGGGATACATAGGAGGAAGACTAAACCGTATGAATCAAAACATAGATAGAAGTAGAAATATCTCCAAATAGATCGATTGAGAGGAAGATTAAACGAGAGACATGTAAAATCAAAGTAAAAGAGTAGCTATTCTTGATTTCAACTCAAACATGTAACGAATCATGTAGAATTCCATAGATCTCTTTGATTTGGGTTTTGATTTTTGATGACTTTTTTCGTGAGCGAGGTTGCGAGTAGATCTGACGAAGCTTTTGATTTGTGACCCTATGGCAAGCGTTGTGGCTATGAGGTCTAGGAAGATCCAGCCCAATCCTGCAATTTGAAGTTCTCTGTCAATGTTGTACCCAAGTTAGTTGCAGATTATTTGATCTAAATGCTTTTCTTGGATTTGGAGACAAAAAAAGAGAGAGGGGAAACAAAATGAGTTTGAGGAGCGTGAGATTGGTGATGTGGATTAATGACATGGATAATCAAATTTTTATTTATTATTTTTAATTAAAAACGAATTAAAAATTATTAATTAGAAAAAAACTAATGAAGGGTGTTAACTGTAATTACACAAATGCTCAAAACATATGAGTAGTTTTTAAAAGATATATGATATTCTAATAATAAACATACTTTTCTATAAAATTTGAGTAAATTTTTCGGAAGATAATCATAAATATTTTCTTCTAAACCTTGAAGAATCGACAGCGGTGTTACTCTAAATATCTTAAATCCCATATCTTTAACTTGATGTTATTAAAATAATTTATCTATTATACTTAATTGATTAAACAAATGTTTAGATTTGGGTTGATATCACATGTAAGCATAACTTACATGAACCCCAATATTTTTAAACATCTACATTAATTACATAATAGATGTAAATGTAATACCTCCATTAATAGCAACAGATAAGTCTTCTAGAACAGTTCCATGAATGGAAGATGAAAGCTTGATGTTGAAGTTAGAGTTTAGGTTTCTCTCCTTGCCTATTACAAACGTTTTTCTTTAAGTGTAGCATTTTTTTACATCAGTATTTATGATGGACTAAAGGCTCTATTTATAGGTGGAGAGAACATAGTTTCGCATCTCTTCTATTAATCTCAATTGTCTATAAAAATATAGCCGAAAGCATGTGTGACAAGTAGAAAACTCTTTTAATTTTTTTTTTTTTTTTTTGTCAACAGCTAATCTTTTAAATTATCAAAAGTATATTACTGAATAACAATTTCGATAAAAAACAGACGACTATACTATCACGTAAAAGGGAAAGAAAATATATATTACATAGATCACTTAAATGGTTGTAGATGGTGGTAAGCTGGAAGTTTGAGAACTGAAATGAACAAAAACAATTTGGTTGGTGTAATTTTTTGGAAGTACCAAAGGTTGTGTAAATTAAAGGTACCAAATAAATAGCTCATGAATTTTTATGAAATTTTCTTTAAACAATGTATCAAAGGTCCCTAAAAATTTGAAATGAATATCTAAAATCACATTTGTCTCCCTCTTAATATTTGGTAATCAAATCACATTATATCTTTTGATGCTTGGTTCGATTTTTTATTTTGTGTGTGATGGAATACAAGTACAAAGTAATTGGTCACAAACCTCGTAATTTCTTTTTTACTTTATTATGAAAAGCTTATCATTTATAATATGAATTTTATATTAAAAATAATTTGGTAGCAACATTAGTAAAGAGGAGGCCATAAACCACAACATTTGCATTGTTTAGGGTCTTTTCCTTGGGCATTAAACTTCCAGCAAATACCCTCTAACCCTTTACTCCTCTTCTTACACAGAGACTCACAATCTTTGAGAACACACAATCCAGTTTTTGGGTTAACCACTTGACTAAAGACACATCCCCAACAGTATTTTCATCTAAAATATGTTTAAAGAGTTTTTCGTATATTGCATATTTAAATAGGTGGAATTTGTTTTTTTTATACTGCTTGCATTGACATGAGTAGAGTTTGTAATTCTGCCTCCAAGGGGGAGCTGCACTGATAACCTTTACTCTGAGTGGCGCCATGGTAGAATCCGCTATCGTCTCGTATATTATCCACGCGGCTTGAGAGGAGTTGTCTTGTTGTCGGTAGGTGCAGTCATAGTTACACTTGACGTATCCGGTGGCTGGGCACCTCCACTCTGATAAAGCATCTGTGAGTCCTCGGTTCAACCTCCGACTTTCATTATTGGGTGTATTTGTGCTTGGTAACCATTCCTTTGCTTCGATGATGCTAGGGGAAGAAGGAGAATTAGAAAGAAGAAGATGGAACGACGACAGCCTTAGGTTAATTAAGTTTTCAGGATTTTTTTCTATTTTCTAAAAAGTAAAATTTTAAATGAAAAACGAGAAAAAAAGAATTAATGAAAAAATAACCTTGTTGAAGATTCGAACCCAAGACATGAAGGTAAAAACAGATAAGATGTTACCACTAGACTACATAACAATTTCAAACTTTTTCGGGCCGAAAATGTTTATATATTTGGTGAGGCCGCAAGCTTGGGCTTGCCCAGCTTGTACTTGTGGCCGGCTCTGATAATCGCCCTATAAATATAGTATAAAGCGACAAAAGGAATTCGCCAAAAATATATTTTTCAATTTGATCAAACGTAATTTCTCCGATCAAAAACATTCCAGTCATTTAATTTATGTTCAAGAACATGTGCTAACTTAATCTATTAATCTAGATGAATATCTAGGTTGAAAGACCTCAGAAAAAAAAAAAAAAAAAAAAAAAAAAGAGTTGGCCGACTAGACCCGGTTTAGGATAACAAGGTCAAAGTCAATCGTTGACTTATCCAAAACCTGTAAGGGCCAGTTTAATTAGGTTTAATTTGATTCAGTTACGGTTCTATTTCATGGTTAAGTTAAGTCAATTAATGTTGTTTTGGTGTGATTTGTTTGGTCCGAGAATTACTTCATTTTAGTTTGACTTTTTAATCAAATTCGAGGAAAGGCAAGTTAGACCTGTTAATTAGAATTCTAATTGGTTCATCAATTATTGATTGATTGACTTATTGAGTGGTTGGTTTAATTGATCAAACTGGTTAAAGTTCGAGTGATAATTCCATCTTGCAAATTGGTACAATCTTTGGTTTAGTTTGAATAAACTAAGTGACGACATAGGTGAGTCATGGGGACCAAGACTGCACTTTAAAATTGAAGAATGAATGCTAGATATTACCAAAATAATCTCATTCTCATTAATCAATTAAAAGATACAATTGGGGGTTTATATACAATTGTAAGAGGCCTAAACCATAGCCATTAAACCGAATTAAACCAACATTAACTATAACTAGTTTATACAAGATACCAGTGTACAAAGACTCTATTAACATGAATTAAGACTATATACACTAATACTAGATGTATGATTATGACTAAACCTTACATGAGGCATATTTGTTTGGTTATATTCACATAATGAGTACATGAAATGATGTTTATGTGTTGTTCTATGACCAAATAATAATGATATTATTGTGTGGTATTGGTTGGTCGTAATGTATGAGTAAGTGTTTGTCATGAACTTGTTTCAAAGAAGTGAAGGACTACTCCACGATTTGCTCAAGAACCTTGTGATGGTAACAAACTGTGGAGTTCACCTCTTCTAAGATAGTTTTGGAGACGGGATTTGAAGCCAAATGAGAATAACAGACACAAACACATAAGTAAATACTGAATTTAAAAATAACTAGTCGCACCAAATAAAAAAACCTCTAAATAACTAACAATTGTTTCGTTCATCATCGAGGCGTTCGCTTCAATTTTTTTTTTATAACCGAGTGATCCGTATTTTTACCACCGACTAATTCTCTAGAGTAAGTGTCGCAGAGTAGCCTAATCACCAGGTTTTCTAATGTGTTTGAAGCGTGGCACTATTTTGACGACTAACTATTTGAAGTGATTAAGTAAATTTTACACTGGAAGGGAATCGATTCATGGCCTAACCTACATGACAACTCAATTTTCAGTAGAAACCACTAGACCACTGCCACTTGGTTCATTTCCTTCAACCTTCAATGCATAAGTTTTCATTGTTATTTATGTTCTTTTTAATTTGACGAATTTTCGTAGATAAAAAAAGAAGATATGTTAGTATTTTACAAACCCATAAAATGAACAAAAATAAAGGTAAAATATTGTGCTTAAGATAAATATAATTTCTTTATCAATAGAATTTCAATACCAACATCAAATAGAGATCAACCCCGGCGTATTTCGGATGCTTGAAGGCCCCGCTGATCCGAAGTGATTTAGAAAGATTCTTCCTCAAATCAAACCTAACCATTCATCAAGGCTGATATTGTGCCCAACAAACGTAAGAAAAGTATCAAGTAAAATAAATAGTAACACCCTTTGTATATCTCTCGAACAGAGAAGTGGTCAATGGTGGTGATATATGTTTGAAGACTTTGTGAAGAGATAAGTGGTCGATGTTGCGCCACTTTGGCGTTAACGTTGACGTTTGGAAAATAAGAAGCAATAACATAAATCCACGGTCAACAATTTCTGCTCCATTCATGTTGACCTACACGTGATGCATTTTGGAATGTTCCAGCTATATAATGATTTAGTTTTTTATTCAATATCTCATCCATTTTGTCGCACTATAATATAACAAAGCACCAATCTCTAGTGAGAGAACAAGTTAAAGTTGACCAACTAATATTCATTTACTGATTTGAGTGGTCACAACTCACAAGTTTTGACCACAATATAGACTTCTCTCGGTCAACAAAATTTTGTAGTTTATCATAAATATATTAACAATAATTTCCCACTTGTTGTTATGCGTTTAGACCGATTTCTAAAAATATCATGTTCTAGAATAGATAACGTTTTGGTATAAAATCAGTCTCTTCTTCTAGTGAACACAAGATAAACCTCAAAACAAAGTAAAAAGTTTATTAAGAAAGTAATGAAGACATTAATTGTGAAATGTTCCCTTCTATTGGCTCTTGTATGTAGCTGCAAAGCAGCAGATTCAATATGGCAACTCTGCAACACAAACTCAAACATCTCAGCAAGCAGCCAAGTCTCCAAGAACATCGATTCTCTTCTCGCGACGCTTGTCTCAAAGACTCCTTCACAAGGTTTCGTGACCACAACTTCTCCAAGTTACAACAAAAAAGAGAAAGTGTATGGACTTGCTCAATGTAGAGGAGATATCAGCAAGACCGATTGCTCCACGTGTATCCAAGACGCGGCCAAGAAAATCCGTGAAGTATGTCCGAACCAATCTGACTCAAGGATCTTGTACGATTTCTGCTTCTTACGTTATAGCCAAGAGAATTTCATAGGGAAGCTTGACACGGGGGCTGGTCTTATATACTTCAACATCGCTAACGTAACCGAAACTGACCCCAAAACGTTTGACAATGAGCTTGGGGCACTCTTTGACAAAATTAGGTCTGAGGCGGTTTTGCCTAAGAGTAAAGGTTTAGGTAAAGGTAAGACAAAACTGACACCTTTTGTGACACTAAACGGTTTGGTTCAATGCACAAGGGACTTAGGCGCTTTGGATTGCGCTCAATGCTTTGCAACTGCGGTCGGGAGCTTCATGACAACTTGCCACAACAAGAAGGGATGTCGTGTTTTGTATAGTAGTTGCTATGTCCGGTACGAGTTTTATCCGTTTTATTTCCCTCTTGATCCGGCTAAAACTGGTCCTAGTGTTGGTAGAATTTCTTCCGTTCGTCTCTCTCCGTAATCACAAAGTCTAATAAAAGAGTAAGTTTGACTCTAAAGAGTATATGTATATGTGTGCAAAATAAGGCTCTCTCCTTTTGTTTCTTCTTTAAGATGTAAGCAATTAAGTTGCCAAGTTATTTGTGTTCTAGATTCCAACATGCATATATAGTTGCATACATATCATCGGATCCTGTATATTTTATTTATCCTAAAGAAACTAATATGTCATCCATTTCAATATAAATATATATCGTTTTTGAATTTTCTTACCCATATTAAAAGGTTTACGATAAATTATTGTCTAAAACTATTAGAAAAATTTGTCATATGAGTTTAGTATAAATTTAACATTTGGATGACTTATAAAAATTAAACCCAAATCAAGGTCTAAACATCATTAGGAAAAGGCCACCAAAAACACAAAAACATCGTCTTGCATCGCGTGACCTATGCAACTCTGTTCAAGGCTCGGCTCAAGTGGATAACGCAGAGGTGCTTCGGCTTAAAGCTCATCGACATTTTAATAAAAAATCTTATATAAAAACGTCCAATTTATTTTAAAATATTTAAAATAAGGTTCCCATCTTTTTTTAGTATGAATTAGAACCCAATGCATTAAAAGTTGTAACATATAATGATGGAAATCCGTACAAGATGTATAAGTTTTAGTAAAAGACCCCAAATTTTGTCATTTGCCTTAAAATACTTAATCTTGTTGGACCTTGGACTGCTCTACTCCATCTCTGAAGAACAAGCAGCCGATAACTTTCTTGTAGAAAGGTACTCTACTGTTTCAAAATATAGGATGTTTTAGAAATTTTGTTTTTCAAAATATAAGATATTTTACACATTTTTATGCAACTTTTAAATACATTTAATATCTTATGATTATTTGTATTTTGTAGTCTTTTATATCATTGGTTAGATTTTAAAATTTTAATCTATATATAATAGCAATCTCAATAAATGCCTTTTGCACCTCTGAACAGTTACGTTTTTTTATCGCAACCTTTCGTTTAAATATTTACGGTTATTTTTTCGATTGTGTCTTTTTATCGCATTTTTTCGTTGAAATATTTACGGTTATTTTTTTACGGTTGCGTTTTTTTTATCGCATCTATTCGCTAACATATTTACGATTTTTTTTACAGTTATATTTGTTCAATTACAGTCGTATCTTTGCAGTTTACGGTTGTGTCTTCATAGTTGCATCTATTCATTTAAAGTTACGTCTCATATAATATAGATTTAAATTTTGATTTTTTAACTAAATATAAATTTTGCAATTGTTTTTTTTCAAAGAGTTGCAATTTGAATAAATATTTTATACGGTTGCATCTTTTTATCGTAACACCTCATAAACAATTGCGATTGTTTAGGTGAACCATTGCAACATTTACTTTATTTAACAAACGACTATTCAAGGTGAAGGAACCGGTGTTTGGTCTTCATGACAAGAGGATCTTGCTGGATGGTTCTGGTAATCCTATCGTCACTTTGAGAGAAAAGATCAGAGAGTAATGTTTTTTTTAACACAGAGCACACACACAACATGTATTCAAGTAACTAGTACTAATAAATAAAGAGCTAGGTAGGCCTTGGCATTCGGTTAACCATTCGATTTCGGTTCGGTTGTGTTCAGTTTCGGTTAGTTTGGATATGGTAATATAATAACCATTCGGATATTTTAGGAATTTCGGTTCGGTTCGTTTCGGTTATCTTTCGGTTCGGTTCGGTTTGGATATTTAAATAGATAACCGTAACTAACCAAACTTTTGTCATGTTCGGTTTGGTTCTGGTTTTTACCCAAAATAACCAAAATTTACCGAATATAACCAAAACTAACCCAAAATAACCAAAATATTAAAAAAAAAATATTAGAAAGAAAATTAAAATTTGATTCAATTTTGTAAAAGAGTATTTAACTTGGACAAATATAACAAACAATATTGGGATATTTTGATTATTTAAAGTATTTGATTGTTTTTATTCCAAAAATAATTATAGTTTTGGATATTATCTTTGGGTATCTTATAGGTTTTTAGATATTTCGGTTAACCTTTTGTTATCGGTTCGGTTCGATTCGGTTTCGGTTAGTTTGGATAGGAAATTTTACTAAAATCTTCGTTTCGGATATGGTTTGGTTTTTTTCGGTTCGGTTCGGTCGGTTATTTGGTTAGCTGTTTTTTTGTCCAGGGCTAGAGCTAGGCTTGATATGATTGCAGATGGTGAGCATGCATGACAGGTGGCAAGTGTTTAGAGGAGGGAGCACGGAGCAGCGTGATCTGCTGTACACGGTGAAAAGAGCGTCGATGCTTCAGCTAAAGACAAAACTTGATGTGTTTTTGGGGCACAACAAAGATGAGAAAAGATGTGATTTCAGAGTCAAAGGGAGTTGGCTCGAGCATTCTTGTGTTGTTTTCGCCGGCGAATCTGACGCCATTGTTGCCCAAGTAAACTCTCTTTCCTTCATTATTAGTTCTTTTTCAACTTAAGTCCTTTAGGGCCCATCTCATTTATCAATTTCTATGCATCATCTCACATGTCTCTACATAGTTCACACATTAAAGAAACAATGTTTAAATCCGGTTTTGGTCTTTGGTTTACTGTTTTAGAAGCCGGTTTTGATGGAGCTTTGATTTCGGTTTGGATCAAAAGCTAATATATAATACATTAGCTTATGAATTGCGAAGGTTTAAGAAAAAAGACATCTACTAATAGAAAAAGAAATCAATGGTATGGTTTTTGATGGGTAGATGCACAGGTAGCACACGGTGTAGAGCGTATTCTTGGGAAAAGACAATTTCTCAGTGACTGTTTATCCAAACATCGATTATGCCTTCATTGCCTCTCTCGTCGTCATTCTCGATGACATCAACCGCGAAAACCGCGCCGCCTGAGATTCAGATATCATCTCAGTTTATAATTATCATCAATAATGTGCTATTTACTGGTTTTGTTGTACTTATTCGTATTCTCTTAACTGTTAAACTTTGTGTGACCATTTCAATTGTAAAATAAGGAAATTATTTTGCTTGTGCCTCTCGTTAATGTTTAGTGACTACAACTACTATTAAAGGATTTATTTTTTCTTCACATAATTTCTATTTTTAGAATATATAATAATTTTGCATTAATACTTCGATTCTCCTGCCAATTGTACATGTATATCAATCATTACAAAATTTTATGTTAGTGACCAGACATTTCACATACTAATTAAAAAAAAACATTAATGAAAAATCTACAATTATACAAAAAAATCAAACACAAGCCCATCTAAAAATATTGAACGGCCCAAATGGTTATTGAAACGGAACGCATTTGCTGTAGGCTCGGGACAGGTATGACCGGAGAAAAATTAATAATCAGACAAATCCATGTGGCAATAACTGCTGGAGGTGTGGGACCGGGTGTTTTTGAGAAGACATGGTCCAAAACAAGTGAGAACGAATTTATCGGATAGCTGATTTTTTAAAATACACAACATGTATACAAGTAACTAGTAATAAACAGAGAGCTCCATAAACACACAACATGTATACAAGTAACAAGTAATCCGGTTTTGGTCTTTGGTTTACTGTTTTAGAAGCCGGTTTTGATGGAGCTTTTGATTTCGGTTTGGATCAAAAGCTAATATATAATACATTAGTTTATGAATTGCGAAGATTTAAGAAAAAAAACATCTACTAATTGAAGAAGAAATCAATGGTATGGTTTTTGATGGGCAGATGCACAGGAAGCACACGGTGCAGAGCGTATTCTTGGAAAAAGACAATTTCTCAGTGACTATGTATCCAATCGTCGATTATGCCTTCATTGCCTCTCTCGTCGTCATTCTCGATGACGACAACCGCGAAGACCGCGTCGCTTGAGACTCAGATTTTCTCAGTTTATAATTATCATCAATAAATGTGCTATTTATTCGTTTTGTGTTAAACTTTGTGTGATTATATCAGTTGTAAAATAAGCAAATTATTGTGTCTGTCGTTGATGTTTAATGGCTACAACTACTATTCGTGTATTTTTTTCTTTTCTTCATATAGATTCTCTTTACAGAATATATGATTAATTTTGCATTAATATTTCGATTCTCCTACCAAGTGTACATGTATATCATTACAAAACTTTATTTTAGTGACATACATTTCACATACTCCCTTTGTTCCTCCAAGTTTGATGTTCTAGTGTTTTAGGTTTGTTCTACCAAGATTGATTTTCTAGATTTTTGTTTTATTTTTAATTAATTGATATTATTAATCATAGATTTCAAGACGTAATAATTGAAAATAATTATCTATACTAGATTACTATTGGTTCATAGTTTATTAAAAATTTTTTTAACAAAAATAAATAATTATCAAATGATTTTTTCTTAATATATATGAAATCTCTATAAAAATCAATTTTCTAAGAACCGAGGAAATACTAATTAAAAAAAACAACATTAATACCAAAAAAATCAAACCCAAGCCATCTAGAAATATTTAACGGCCCAAATGGTTATTGAAATGAAATGCTTTTGCTGTAGGATGGGGACATGTATGATTGGAGAAAAATAATAATCAGATAAATCTACGTGGCAATAACTGGTGGAGGAGTGGGACCGGGTATTACTGAGAAGACATGGCCCAAAAACAAGTGTGAGCGAATTTGTCGGATAGTTGAGTTTGTTTTTTATCTCTATAAATAGGACTCGCCTTGTGGAATAAATGTATTTTTAGACGAGAATTTCAGTGGAATTCAGAAATGAGGCCTTCTTCTTCTTCTTCCTCATCCTCTGCTTCTCCTTCGTTTACGCTGTCTTCAGTGACAGTGGCGGTGGACAAAGCCACAAGCGAGCTTCTCCGCACTCCTGATTGGACCATCATCATCGCCATCTGCGATTCCCTCAATTCTAATCGCTGGTAAATATCACAAATATTTGATGATCTTGCTTAGTTATCATCATGAATCCCGATGTTGATGTTGAAATTTTGGCAGGCAATGCAAAGATGCGATCAAAGCCGTGAAGAGAAGATTGCAGCACAAGAGTTCTAAAGTGCAATTACTCACTTTAACGGTACATCACCCTTTTTTCTTTTCATGAACCGACCTGTCTGTCTTGTCTCTCGGTTATAACTGCATCCACTATCATCATCTCCTTAGTTGTTGGAGGCAATGCTGAAAAATTGTGGTGACTTTGTTCATTCTCATATCACTGAGAAACATCTTCTTGAAGATCTGGTTAAGATTGTCAGGAAAAAGGTTATTTTATTTATTTATTCTGAGCTCTCTTTTTAACTTTTCCAAGACACCCTCTTTTTTTCATTTTTTATTTTTGTGGATATAATAATCTTTGATATGTTTGAGTGTTGAAATTGTGTGTGAAAGGGTGATTTTGAAGTAAGGAACAGGATCTTGCTATTGTTGGATACATGGAATGAAGCATTCGGTGGAGTTCCTTGTAAATACCCCCACTACAATTGGGCATACCAAGAGCTTAAAGTAAACCCACTTTCTTAGAAATTTTATCATTCATTCTTTAGCTTATTAGCCTCTCATTATATTCCTTTTGAATCGACAGCGGTGTGGGGTGACATTCCCACAACGTTCCAAAGAAGCACCCCTGATGCTTGCACCACCACCTCCAATGACACATTCTTCTTCTTCTTCTTCATCTTCTATGAATTTACTGTCCATTGGTTCATTTAGAAGGCTCGACGAAGCTATGGCTACAGAAATTGAGGGCCTAAGGTAAGCTGAGTGCCTATGTTTCTCAAACAACCTACTATATTTTCAGTTACATTGTTTATTGATTGTTTCAGCTTATCAAGCCTTGAATCCATGAGAAATGTGATGGATCTTGTGAATGACATGGTTCAAGCCGTGAATCCATCTGATAAATCAGTAAGTTTGGTATCAATCCTTTTCAACAATCCAATACTATTTAAAACTCTCAATAATCTCTCTGGTTTGGTTATAAATAAAATCTTTCACAGGCTATAAATGATGAGCTAATAGTTGATCTAGTAGAGCAGTCCAGATCTAATCAAAAGAAACTAATCCAGATGCTCACTACAACTGCGTCTGTCTTCTCCACCTTTATCTACATCCTCTTCTTCAGCTTTACTTGTTCTTTTTTTTTTCTTACCTATTCTGCCTTCTTCTTCTCAGTGATGAGGATGTTATGGCACGTGGGCTCGAGCTGAATGACTCTTTACAGGTAGTGCTCGCGAGACATGACGCTATTGCATCTGGTGTATCACTTCCTATGTTGGAGGCCCCAGAGACAAGCTCTGCCCTCAAGACTTATGATGCAGCTGCTCTTGAGTCTGACTCTGAGTCTTCTTCATCGTCGAGCAGTGAAAGTGAAACAGATGAAGGGGAGGATGTTAAAGATGACTTTATGCAGCTAGCCAGAAGGTTAACCATTCACTCACAAACTCAGACACTAGTATTTTACACTCACAAATTAGTTTATAGACATTCTCGAATCTGCAGGCACGCTCTATTAAGTGCCGAACACAGCGATGAAGAAGAAGAAACATTGCTTCTAGGCAATGACAATGAAAAAATAGCGGAAACAGAAGCCAAGACACAGTGCAAAGATCTAGCTTTGTTCGACACAACAACAACAACCACCACCGAGTCAGAGCAGGACATTATAGAACTTCTCAGCCTAACTCTGTCAACGACTGCTCTACCGTCCCCACAAACGCAACCTCAAATGCAACCACAAACGCAGCCTCCATCGTTTTTTGCTGATGATAATATTCTTATGAACAACTACGTTGTCCCCTGGGCACAGTCCCAAGAAGAACCGCAAGTCCCAAAAATGACTCAGTTTGCACCATCGAGACCTCAGTTTCAGCCATGGCCTCTACAGCAGCAACAACCGTTTTCATACGGTTATCCTCAGCCACAATGGAGCGGTGGCCAAGTAAATAGTAATGACACAACATTGTGGAGCCAAGGAGGCAATGAGAATAAGGTCTTTGAGAGAAACTTGCAATACTTAAACTCCTTCCCCGCTAGAGCCACGGGGACATCCGGTGCTGCCTCTGTGCCTACGGTGGTGGACGGGCAGCCGCAGAGGCCCTATGTTCCTCCGTACAAATTGTTTGAAGATCTTAACGTTTTGCGAAACGCAGATGCAGGCGTTAGGAGTAGCAAATGACCTTTGTTGTAATTACGTTATAATAGTTCCAAAAGACTTCAGATTATTACAGTTACAAATTAACAAAGAGAACTAATAAGACTTCCAAGGTGAGGTAGAAATCTTTGGAAACTTAATATATGATTTAAGGAATAAATAGTTGAAGTTGACAGAGATCTAACTTTACTTGTGCCATTTTCTTTACCCAAGATGAATAGACAAATAATAAGAAAAAATATGAAGATGTAAGATATACACATACACAAGAACTATTTACAAAGCATTTACATGCGTAATATAGCCACAAATTTATTTGGCAAAGCCTCCTCAATTAGTATTGCTTGCATCTTTTCATTGGAGGCTAATTAATCAATTCTACAAATAACACCCAATTTTAGCCCAACTCCCTATTTTCAGCCTTAAGCTACTGGATAGGTGAATATGAAATTAGATGGATATATTGTGGTATGTTGTGCTTGAATTGCTTAGTATAATTATCGGTTATTGATCTCTCTGCCATTTCATGTCTCTGGCTTTTATAGACTAATATGCAACTGATAGTATTTTTGATACACCTCATGTATTTTTTCTTACATATCTGGCAAACACTACAAAAAAAATCCACATTGATAGCATACGAGGATAGCTCATTTTTCCCAATTGCTATTAAAAATAAGTTCATAATTTTTGTTATTGTATAATAGCGTTTAATAAACGCTAAAATAAAAATAGCTTTTAGTTAATGCTAAGATAGAAAATCTCTAAGCGGGAATGTAAAATCACTTATGCCGCTCAACATTTAGCTAAAAATTAAAAAAAAAAATTAAAAAAAATCACTTGTGCCCGCAAACATTTAACACTTTAACCAAATATTACACTTTTTTACCTCCAACACTTAATAAAAATCACAAAACCCACTTCGACCTAATTACAAACCATTCTTGCTTCTCTCCCGGCTTGACCCGTCGTCTCCAATGGCTCCGCCGCTCCGGTGAAGAAGAAGAACAAGAAGCCTCTAGATAAGGCAAAAAAGTTGGCGAAGAAATCGAAGAGGAAACCCAGGAGAATCAACGAAATTCCTTTGGATCCGGAGGCTATCGACTGGTGGGATACTTTCTGGCTCCGAAACTCTTCTCTCTCAGGTTCTCTTCTGTTTTATTTTAGTTTAATTCCTCTTCTTCTCAATTACCACAAGTCAATGTCGTTGCTAATGCTTTACTAGATTGTTACAGCGTCGGAAGCCAAAGCAGCGGCAAATCCAGCGTTCTCGTAGCACTCGTCGGCTGTGATTTTCTCCCTCGTGAGAATGAAGGCGAGAAACCCAGATTCTGATAGATCTAGTAATGGTGAAGATGAGACAATTAAGAACGGAGAAGATGATTGGGTGACAAAGTTTTAGAGATTGTAAAGAGGTTTTTGTGATTTGGTCATTACTTTTCTCTTTGCTTCTCATTTACGTTTTTTTTTTTGAATTGAATTAGATGTTGGGTTTGTTTTTTTTATTTGTCTTCCTCTTGATCAGATCTGCTATGAATTGAATTAAAGGAGTTTCGATTTGACAGAACAAATGGAGTTGCGACGGTCATATGCGGAAGATGCCGAAGAAGAAGGAGAAGCTGAGAGGCGGGTAAGCAGATCTTCGTGATGGTCTTTTATATTCTCTGAAACTAGGATTCATAGGACTAGAGTAGTGGATTGTGAAAGTAGAACTCAAGAAATAAATCAAGTAACATAGAAGACTTGAGATTACCATCGTGATGTTCATGTTTGGATTTTTGTGGAGACTACTCAACAACTACTTCTCCAACTCTGATCTGATGATAAAGATTCATGGCCTGGACAATGGGACATCTCTAGTGCTGGCCATATATCAGATGGTGATCCATCGCTTTTATCCGCACAGTAAGTAAATCCCATTCTACTTTTGTTAGTTCTTCTATCTGTTTACTTAAGGTTTCATGATAATTTGTGTAGGCGGGAGCTCCAGGAAGAGCTTGGCGTCAAACTCCCAAATGATGCATTGAAAAGATATTCGTTTTTCTACAGGAATGGTTTGTTTCTTGGCCTAAGTAAAATCTCCCTTCTTATCATCAACGTTTATTTTTACTTAAATAATAATTCAAGAATCCATTTCATCTTTGTTCTGTTTTTAAACAACATGGGTGTTAACGTTGCCTGTGGGAATGAAAGACGAGACAAAAGGAAGCATGGTTCTTCTCATAAGAATGTGTGTCACATTGTATTTTTTCTCTGGTAAGTATAGATCAATCGAATCCCATTTGCAAAGATGGAAAACAGGTTAATGCTGCAAGGTATGCTTATCTCATACGAGAGCAGCGCAAGGTAATTCATATTTCCTTCTTCTCTAAGCTATGGTCTTAGTTTTGCAAAACTGATTTAGTCTGATGCTAGGTCGTACTATGATAGTTGTTTTCTACTCTTGTTGTTATGATCTTGGTGATGTATAGTTCTTTTGTTAAGGGGGTAACACATATACGTTTGACCTGATATGATAGTGCTAGTGTTATGGGACTGAAACTATCTTGGTTTAGTGTTAGATGCTTCTCCTTTCATATAATTTCCAAGCTTATCTTCAACTCCTCCAACAATCTCAGTCTTCTTCTCCAACTCAGAGGTATCCACTTCCATGGACTCTTTCTTGTCCGTCACAACTTCTCATCCTCTTTGCTCAGATTCAAGTATGTGTTCTTTGTCTATATGTTATTCAGTTTCCAAAACTCTAGAATTGTTAGTTTTTTTTCTGGATTAGGTTCTGCTTTTTGTTTTACAATGGGAAAATGGTTGTGATCTTAAAAATTTACAGGAATTCAACATTGAGAATTTTGAGGTCGTTGAAGGAGAGAATAAAAAGACTAGACAAGAGTAAGAGAAAAAGAAGAACCAAATGGATGTCAAAAGGAAGATGTGAGCAAGGAAAAGAAAAAGAAAAAGAAGGAAAATGTGAGCTCATTCTACCGTCCTTGTTAGATAATGATTCTGGTTTTGTATGACTTAGTTTGAAACTTGTAATGTATGTTGTGGATGATTTATGAAATAAAATAATTCTATGAAAATTGGATATTTTGAAAATTATATACAAATTGGATTGTAATAGTAAATATTATTGCATTGACAAAATTGTTACAAATCAATAGATCATAGCCTAAACAATGAGCTATAATTTGAAAGAGTTATGAAAGAGTAGATTACAGTGTTAATCCAATGCTATAAGATATATAATTGTAGCATTCAGTTAACGCTATTATAGAAAAACATATAATAGCACACCAAAAAATGTTATTATATGGGTGACATCTACCATAGCTGCCGATATCATAGCATTTGTGAATTCGTTATGTTATATGTATGATAGCAGATTTTTTGCGCTAACGATGAACATATTTCTTGTAGTGAAACTAAGTTTATTTGCTTCCCGGTTTCTCAGTTGTGTTTGTAAACTCTCTTATGTTGCAGCCTTTGCACCAATGAACACCGCAGCACCAGACTCTAGAGACTTGAATTGGAATGCACAGAGACAGTCATTTGATGCTGAGAGATACACTCGGGATTGATTTGATCGTTCATCGCATGGGTTTCAGGTTCTTGGCACTATCATTTTCAGTGTGTCACGAAAATGTAGATCTAGCAGAAGATCGAGTCATAATCCGAATACAAAAGAAGTTAGTAGCTTATCTATTAGAATGTCCCACATTGCTTGGGATTAAGATCTTTGGGTAATATATAAAGGATGTGGCAATCCTTAACTCTTGAGCTAGCTTTTGGGTTAAGTTAGGCCACATTCCTAATATGGTATCAGAGCCCAAGGTTGGCCCAACAAGCAAATTTCCACACAAATGGTTTCCCACCTATGTGGCCCATATAAGTGGCATGTCTTATTGTATTTCCGAGATGTTGGGCTTGGGCTGTTTCCCGTTGGACCGTTTCCCACCCACATCTCGAGGAGGCCTATTAGAATGTCACACATTGCTTGGGATTAAGATCTTTGGGTAATATATAAAGGATGTGGCAATCCTTAACTCTTGAGCTAGCTTTTGGGTTAAGTTAGGCCACATTCCTAATATTATCTGACACAACACGGTTTGGCATCTGATTGTACACTTGGAGAACCGTGTTACAAAACAGAGGGATCACACTTCCTAGACTAGACGGTGTTGGATCATTTCAGTAACGAACTGCTCATAAGTCACACAATCCCCTTCTCCACCAAGAGAGTTTTGATAATTGTTTCATATTCATCCATTTGCAAATGAGATCACGAATCTTGACATCAATTGTTGTGAGAAATGTGAATAATGGAAAGACACTTCAAATATATGCATGAATGTAGTCATTTCATGGGAAAATGGCCAATTCATAACGAATCATAACCTTTTGTTACAATACGTACATGAATTACAGACTTGTGAGATTCATACACCAAACGAAAACTTTTGGCCAATTCATATACAAACGAACATGATTTTGAAGTCGGTGTATGACTCTAGAAAAAATGTTTGCCAGCTACGCGAAAGATACGTCATCACATAGTCACACATGCAGACTTTAAAAATGTTTCGTTAGCTACACAAAGTATTGACATTACATACAGACATCCCCGAACTAACATAAGTCATGTTGCAAACACCATAACCATCTAATTCCAGTGATTCAGTTGCCGGAATCCGGCATTGACCAGCATTGACCGGCGTTGACCGATGTTGACCAAAACAAATTTCAATTTTTTTTTTTTGCATTTTATTTATTTGTCTGTTTTTGATAAAAAAAATAATTATTAAAAAATTATGTAATAATTTTACTTAAAATATATCAAAAAATAATATAACAAAATAAACCACAAAAAAATTATACAACAAAATTTTGGTATATATTTTTGTAATATACCACAAAATAGTCCATAAATTTTATTTTGTGCTATATTTATTTATAAAATTTTGGTATAATATACCACAAAGTATATTTTGTTATATGACCAAAATTTTATAAGAAAATATAGCATAAGAAATATTTTGTTAATAAAATTTTGGTAATATAACAAAATATACATTTTCCTTTTGGCAATCATTTTTTACCTTCAAAGTAATATTTTTCTTCTCGGTTATTCATTGTTGAATACCACAAAAAAAAATTCCAAAAGAAAAAGTTATATTTTGTTAATAAAATTTTGGTAATATAGCAAAATATACATTTTCTTTTTGACAATCATTTTTTACCACAAAATAATATTTTTTCTTTCTTAGTTGTTCGACGTAGAATACCACAAAAAATAATTTTTTAAAAAAATGTGTATTTTTTATATTACCAAAATTTTATAAATAAATATAGGACAAAATAAAATATATGGACTATTTTGTGGTATATTTAGTTATATTACAAAAATATCTACCAAAATTTTTGTTGTATATTTTGTTGTGGTATATTTTGTTATATCATTTGTGGTATATTTAATTTTGGTATATTTTTAAGTAATTTAAATTATTTTTTATCAAACTGAATTCATAAGGAAAGAATATTATTTATGTTTGCATAATATAAGTTAACATGTCATTTGATCTGACAAATCGACAATTATTGTGCTATAAACCGTGTTGGGATTTCCTACATCGACTATGATTAATTTAAAAAGATGTGAATTGGTTTTGTTCAAGTTATTATTTGCGCTTGTACTTGTAATGTTGTCCAGTAACTCATAAAAAGCTTTAAAAAGTATTGAATGAAAATTGTAAAGAACTTTTAAATTTAGAAACTTGAATGATAAATCTACATAACAATGCGAAAATAAGTTGAATTTGTGGAATCTCTAACGATAAATGCAGGATCCAAAATCTGGTTAATTTCATATCTTGTAAATTTATTATCCAAATTTCTATTATTTAAAAAGCTTTAAAAAATTGTTTTAAAACCCACTGAAAAATTGAAAATCTTTTCAAAAAAATTTAGAAACTTGAATGCTAAATCTACATAACGATGCGAAAACAAGTTGAATTTGTGGAATTGCTAACGACAAATGCTGGATCCAAAATCCGGTTAGTTTCACAACGTCTTGTTAATTTATTATCCAAATTTCTATTATTTAAAAAGCTTTAAAAATTGTTTTAAAACCCATTGAAAAATTGAAAATCTTTTCTAAAATTTTTAGAAACTTGAATGCTAAATCTACATAACAATGCGAAAACAAGTTGAATTTGTGGAATCGCTAACGACAAATGATGGATCCAAAATCTGGTTAGTTTCACAACGTCTTGTAAATTTATCATCCAAATTTCTATTGTTTAAAAAGCTTTTAAAAATTGTTTTAAAACCCACTGAAAAATTGAAAATCTTTTTTCTAAAAAATTTAGAAACTTAAATGCTAAATCTACATAACGATGCGAAAACAAGTTGAATTTGTGGAATCGCTAACGATAAATGATGGATCCAAAATCCGGTTAGTTTCACAACGTCTTGTAAATTTATCATCCAAATTTTTATTACTTAAAATTATAAAAAAAAAAAAAACTGAATGCTAATTTTTTTTAAAAAATAAAAAAAAAGTGAAAATTGAAAAAGGTTAAAATCCGTAAGAAGTTTTACAAAAATCTGTAAACATAAAAATTCAGCGAATAAAAGTTTTAAATTTATTAATTAAAAGAAAAAGAGAAGAGATGAAATTGACCTTGTTTTTATGGGCCGGAATTGTGTTTTGTTTGTGCTTTTCACATAGATCTCTATCTTTGACCACCGTCACCGGCAAACGAATCCCGATCCATCCACCTTCTCAAGCTTGCCTCTCTTTGATCATCATCTCCGTCAACGATGTAACACCCAAATCACAGACCAGCAGTCACGACAAACTGACGGAGAAGAGAGATCGCACATACATCTATGATCTCTCGCTTCGAGTGATTGGAAACAAAGGGCCCGTCGTCCATCACGCTCTCGTTTCTTGTTGGCGAAAAAACTCACAACAAATCATAGATGAAATAGAAGAAGCAAAGGAAGCAGAAATCGAAGAAGAGAATGCTAAAAAAGCAGAGCATGTAATTGCAATCTTCTCACTTTATTACTCTTATCTTTCTCTGTTTTGTGATGATGATGTTACTAAAACACGATTAGACACAGAGAAGATAGACTATATTTATAGACTCATCTTCTGTGTAATTTCCTTTTTTTCCACTGTTTGTTTGGGATTCAAGTTTCCTTTTTTCTTTTTACTCCTGTTATTTCCTTTTTACCCTTTCGTTTGGGTTTTTATGTGAATAGAACAACTGGGCCTAATTGATATCTGTAAGGCCCAGCCCAATAAGATATACTATCTGAGAATAGATCTAAACCCTAATAAACAAAAGTTTCACGTGCTCTATACGTCTCTAGTTTACTTTGTTTGTTATTCAGACAAGTCTCCGAAGTTCTCGCTAGCCGCGGAAACCAAGTCTGCCGACGAAAACATCTTCCGGCCGAAACAGGTCTCGCGTGAACGAACCTTACTGGGCAGAGATATACGCCAGTAAGATCTCGTTATATCTCTTGAAGTTGTTTGGTCTTTTGATTAGATTTTCGTCTGATTGTTAACTAATATTTAATCATAGTAAATCTTTTCCAATGGATTGTATTGATTTTTGATTCCATGGTGTCTCCGGTGGCAGAGGGTAACACAGGTGTGTTTTGGGACTTGGTGGATTTTCCAATCCCTGAATGTGATCCTTATTTAATCATCAAGAATATAAAATCAACTCTTGAGGATAAGGGTTGTCAAAATGGTCCTGTGTCAATCCAGTTGTACCAAGATGAGAAAAACCTCCTCCCCAAAGAATTGATTGATAAATATGAGGCTGCCGGAATCAGTATCAATTTCGTACCCGATAGTGAGTGAATTCCTCTTTTACCTAATATATTCATATCGATTTATAATTTGTAATGTAATCTAGATCTTGGTTGATATGTAGTTCCTGAGGCGTATGGATATGCTAGAGATCATAAGATGTTAGTGGACATTCTTCGGTGGGCAGTGGACAGTCCTATGGAATCCAATTTGATTGTACTCTCAAAGAACTTGAAAGAAGAGTTGACTGTCTGTGTTATTCAAGGTTTGCATGATAGAGGTTACAATGTTCTCTTAGCAGTTCCTACAGAAGAGATACCTTTTACTGAAAGCTCAGCATGGCTTTGGGATGGCCTTTGTGCAAGCCGAAGCTCACAACATGTTGACAATAAGGCGGATACTGTTGCTGTTGCCGATTCTGTGTAGTGACTAGGGAGCAAATATCGGTAGAGGAGACGAACCTTATGTTATTCTCTTTGATTTGATCATTTTAATTTTTTCTTCATATAAAACAAAAACAAAAATTAAAATATCGAAAATACTCTTTTATGGACTAAGAGAAAATGCATGCATGTATGTGTATTTTTGTTATTCTGATGTTGTTTTATAAATATGTGAAGTGTTGTGGTAAAAGCAAAAGGAGGGGTATAAGGTTTGTGTAAGCGTAGTTGAATTTATGGTAAATTGCTCGATGGTAGTATTTATTGTGAGGAGCTTGTTTGACGCTGATCAATGTTTGAGATCGTTTTGGGTTTGTTCCAAGATCTCTCACTCGTTACCTGCAAAATGCTTCTTTATATTGAACGACAGTTCTTGGGACACACGGTAACTGGGTCTTTTAACACATCATTAAGGTGTCTGGATGATGAACGCCAAGGTAACTGGGTCTTTTATCATCCTTTGGCTTTAAGCCTAACTTTTCAGAAACCGACTTGGACTTGTCTCTCAGTTCCTCGAGCATCTGTTTAGTGAAGGAAGTCAAGATGTGCAATGCCCTAGGTGAAATTATCATTGACATCAACAGTAAATTAGAGCACTACCAATCCTTGCAGTTGTGGCATTACCAATGTGATGAGAGCTCATCAATGTCACAAATAAGAAGAAGTCATTGTTGAAACTGCAAACGCTAGGTATGTGAAAAACTTGCATCGTGCAGTGCTTTTGTTTGGGGCACTCAAAGCTGTCTACTTACAGATATGCTGTGGAAAGGATGGATGAAAATCTTTGGGATAAGGTTTTAAAACATTTCCATCCGTTATTGTTTTACCAAAAACACAACATTATGACCCAAGTCCCAATTAAGCCAACTAGCACACTCAATAAGTCAATAGTAAGACTAATAAGAGAGTTGCATACAACAAAGAAGGGATTTGTGTAATATAGATAAATAGAAAGTTGAAGACAATGCAGTGTCCATAAAGAATCACTCAACTTTGATGTTGACTCATCTACAACAGCATCACTTGGAAGGTCACTCCCCTTTGGAATCTTTCCTGAATAATCAGTCACCGAAGTGTCTGATCCCAACATACTGTGAATCACATGAAAGAACGTTAGACTATACTTGGTTACATCTTCAAAGCTCATGGCAAGAAAAATTAATGAAGAAACTCCATACCTTCTATCAACGATGACAATTGAATGTAGCTCACAATTCGCAAAGCTGCAAATAAAATGCAAATTATAAACCCAATAGATTAAAAAGTCCTAACTAAGAATGTGAAAGCTTACTGGCTGCAAATTTCCTTCTTAACATCTGGATGACACTCGTTTTGTAGTGCATTCAATGTGTGAAACAAGAAACCACAGTGTGTCACAATCGCTATCTCTTTCTCTTTCCTTGTCCATAGCCTACAAATCCAAAACCAGCCATCATACACAGTTCGGTCCCATCAGCATTTCCGATAAATCAACAAGACTAATGGAGATTACTTAAATTCTACATGGAAAGAATCTTCTTTCATCAGAGATTGATCCTATTTGATGCCAACTTCTACTTATCAAACTAACAGTGTCGAGGAAGCGGAGAGGATGTTTCTCTAAGTTTCACGTTCTGTACAATCCATTAAAAATAACTAATCTCCTAGAGTTTAGGTAGAAAAGAAAATATACCAGTTCAGGAACCTTTTTCCTCTAGCTGCAAGTTCTTCAATTGTTTCCCTAACATCAGCCTTCCATAACTTGTCTTCCTCGCTTTCTATCTGATCGCAAATTTAAATGTGAGGAGTCATTTGAAGCACATATAAGTTGTTTGGCGGAGCTGGTCGCTGCTATTAGTCAATTGGGCAACCAGAAGATTACAAGTAATAATCAATGCCAGGCACATCTAAGACTCTCAATTTTACTTGCCAGTGACAAGTCAACTGCAGGGAAAAGAAACTGATAGTCGCTGATACTTGTCCTCTGATCACATGGATGCACTCCCATGAATCTACATATCTCTATAGTTCGTGTATAAATTGGCTGTCTTCCCTCATTTCATAACAAACAGTGTTGCTTATGAATTAAGACCAGAACCAGGAGAATAAACGTAACACACAAAGAAACAAAGAAACAAGAAGCGAAATAAGGGTTATACAACTGTAACATGAACTGAAAATACTTTAAAACGAAAGAAGAAAGCACAAATAACCCCAAATAGAAGAATGGGCGCACACGAAACCACAAAGCTTAGAAACAAAAGATGGACAGAAAGTAAAATCATTCAAACACTAGATAAAGGCCCTTCTGTTTACAATCACAAAGCGAAATGACAAAAAAAAAAAAAAAAAACTAAAGAGAGATCACTTGTGCTATGTACTTATGGTGATGGTGAGGACCTACGATGATGAGGCTTGGCGAGCACGAACGAGCGCATTGAGTTCCCTCACTTGGTTTCTCAATCGCTCTGGGTTGCAGAAAAAGTCCACAAATACCCGTCTTTGAAGTTCCACATCCTTGGCGTGATGCTTCACGATCTGCAGCAATAGTAGTATAGTGTATATTTAAATTGTCTATTTCACTATAATCCATATATATATACATTCATAGGAGAGGAATTAAAATGAAAAGATTAAGACTCACCTCCCTTTTATTGCGGTGCTCAAGCGTCACCTCTTCCACCGCTGTAGAGAGTTTGGAGTTGATTTTCCCCATTTCATCAAGTTCTTTCATCAGTGGCTAATGTTACATGAAGGAAACAACATGAGTTAAACTTTCATATGTTAGTTTTGATTAACGACTAAAAATGGTAACTGTGTAGTGAGAATTATTTTACCCATGGTGTCAATATGGGTTGTGCCGTAGTTGAAGACGCAAAGAGCAGTTGCTGCAAGTTCTGAATATGGGTACACCTGAGAAACAGAGAAGAGACAATAGTGATATATGAGCATCGTAAATACTTGTTTCTGTGAAAGAGTTTGAGGATTCTGGACTCACAGCTCATTAATGCATCTGTTTCGGTCATCTGGAAGGGAATTCTCGAGGTCAGACTGAAGAGACGACAGATCGGATTGAAGGGCAACTATCTGCTGAATGATGGCTGGAGCTGAGACATATGTTGATAATCCGGCTTGGGTACCTACAACAGGAAGAGATGAAGTTTATCAGCCTAAATTAGGTTTGGAAAATATCAGATAAAGGGAAATAATTTGTGTAAAATGATAGTGTTGACTACTTGAGTGAATGCTCAAGAGATCTCTAACTCCATGTAAAAAGCTGTCACGGTCATCCACCGCTCCCTGTTCTTGGACATCAGATGCAGCCTGGATCAGTGCCGAACACCGCCCCTGAATATATAGTGAAAAGATGAATTAGTTTCATTATCTGATAGTTGCAGGAAAGACTGGACTGTAACTATGGCTACGACCATACCACACGGCTTCTTGTGGCGGAGAGGTAACCCTGCAGTTCGGATTCAATTACTTTTAGCAGAGAGAATGCTCCAAGCATGTTTTTCTTTTCTAGCTGACATGCTAATTTCAAGAACTGGTGTCTTGCTAGCTGATTAACCAGATGATTGATGAACTGCATCAAAATTTTCGGAATATCAAAGACAGATTAAAAAGTAGATCTTGGTATCTCAAACATGGAAAACACGCAGTTGTTGCCAACATATCTTGAAGATATCAAATCAAAAGAAATACAAATAAAACTGAAGGCTAACATACCACTTTCTGCTTACTAATATACAGCTCTTGTCGCATGACCTTTAGATCGTAATCACCTAGAAGGTTATGATGAGTAAAATTATATGAAAGCCCCAAATTATCCAAGAGCTTCGGGTAAAAAGCAAATTGTAAATGCTGAATACCTTGCAAGATATAGGTGTCCTGCAGTTGTGCGAGCTCCCAACATAATTCGGGAATAGTCTAAAAAGAAGAATGGAGTAAGAAAATATGTAGTTACTCAAAGAAGAGCCTAGTTTTTAGAGTTTTGAAACACGATACTTACAACGTCAAAAATTAAGTACATAAACAAACCTCAGATAAGAGTTTTTCTTCTTTCTGATAAAGGGTAGAGATTTCTTCGACTAGATCTGCATGTTTTCTCCTGCAAAGGTAAGAACATGATCACCGGAATACAGTATGACAAGTTAAAGACTCAATGAGCTTTGATGTTTCATGTTCTTCTACCTTAGAGAATGTAGATCAAAATGAATATGAGCTTCAACTGATGTTACTTGAGATTTGAGCGTCAAGAGAATAGCTTGTTGCTTAGCATTCTCGACCTGAGCTTCAATCCATTGTCTCTCACTTGTTCCAAAGCTGTGAATCACCAAGAAAATGCCTTGGAGAGTGAGAAAATAAGTATGCGGGGAAATTCCAAAATTTTATATGCCCTAACTAAAGTGGTCTCCAGTATTTCTTAAGTCTAAGTAGCAAGAAAGACCCTTGTACGTATACAATTTTTCTCAACTAAAAGACTGTATCCAGATCCAGAGTAACGGACAAAGTGAAAGCTGAAAGTTATATTGCCGAAGTACCCCATAATACATACATGGACCGAAGCCGTTGCAGTTCAGCTACGCGTTGATGCTGTGACTTTTCCAAATCTGCTGCATTGTAATTGACAAGTTATAGATGCACAATATCTTCAAAACATAGGAATTTTATTATACAGAGGGAAGTTACATAACTGCACAAGGATATACGCATTTCAGGCAAAACAAAAGTCACACTGTAGGAAAGTTACCTCGCAACATGTTTGATGTATCATCAAGACTGACCCATGAGCATTTCGATTTTCCTTCCTCTGCAACTAAACGGTATGGCCCCTGACATGATAGCAGATAGTTACATTAAAAAAAAAAAGAGTGCATAAATAGATGCAAGATGAATAACAGTTGATACTTTCTCCATTCTCAGAAATTGTCAAACCACAGCATTTCTCACAAGGTACTAGGGATAAGATCTCAATGTATTCACCACTACTTTCATTCACTTACTGTATCTAGTTGCTTAGCAAACCACTGATTTAGCTCCTTTGTGCAGGCTGAATCTCCGGCCAAGTAGGCATGGAAATCAGAGTATGCTAAGTATATTCCATCCTCTGCACAAATGAAACAGCCAATTAAGCTAGCCGAAAGAGTTGATGACAGTTAAATAAATATTCCATGAAAACAACCAGTTAGAAAATTGTTTTGCTGACATAGCTGTCAACACCACTTCTTCGTCTATCATCCAAAAGAAATGTCTACAGAAATACAACTAATAGAATAGTTGTATTAAAATTAAATCCGGGCTACAAACAGAACCTTGGTCCAACGTAATACTTATCAATCTTTCAAATAACTACCAGAGCTGAAGTTCCTTATCCAAATGCTGCTAATTTGACAGTTGTATATTGCATTAAAGCAATTAAAATTTTCAGCTTCAAAGCAGATTACAGTTATAAAAAAGTAAAAAGCACAAGATTGAGGGGGATACAAGGGACACCTTCGCCAGAATGATAATGCGCCAGCTCTTGAGAAGTGGAAGCCAATCTTCCTAGAACTCCATTCATCTAAATCACAGGAAAATACCGAAAGGAAACATCACAAACTTATCTCAAGACCAAAAGAATTGCAGATTCAACTTCACAACTGTGTGAGTGCATGTATTAAACCTGCAAATTTCTAGCAGACAGGCTGTCTTCTATAGATGTTATCTGTCCAGAGACAGCAGAAGTTGCAGCAACTCGAGCACGTCTCCCTTGAATAAGAGCTGAAGATTGGCCAGTGAGTAAATCATATTGAGTCTGTAACCGCCTTAGCTGCCTCTGCAACTCTAAGGCTTCAGCCTTATGCGCCAAAGTTGCATCTCTATCAATTAAAAGAAACTGTCAGCGGTGCCATGTAATGATTGGTATACACGACTACATCAACAAAATCTTGTGCACTTGAGAGCACCTCTAATAAATAATTAGTCATACATGATCATCCAAGTGACGTGAAACAAAGTCCCTGGAAATATCTCACAGGGAATAACAAAACACATTTATATAAAACACCACAAGGTCAAAGAAACCTATAAGTACTTTACTTATGTAAACGCATGACCTACGGAGATAATTGACATGAAACCAAATTTCTCAACAAAATCACCCTACTTCTCACAAGGAAAAAAAACATTTAACACTGCACCATCGGTCAATAAACTTAGTGCGCACACAATAACCCAAACTAAGAAACCTGGACAGTTTGTACTTGTTTCAAAGGGCCTTATAATAGGCATGAAACAGAAAGTACAAAATCCCATATGTGATATGAAGGTCTAACCTTACTTCTTTAATGCTTTCTTCTGCTCCAAAAACCGCCTCCTGGTTATTTCTCCTGGAAGAAAATGCTGATATGCTATCATAAGCCTGGTCTAGATCGTCGCCCTAAATCCATGCAAAAGAAACGCACAATAAGAAGGCAAGGAAATAACATCTTAAGACAGACACATACGTCTAATGAACTCTTAAAAGCCAAGAAAAAGTAGAATGACACAATGGAGTTACCTCTAAGAGTTTCCCATCTCTTTGAAATTGCTCATATCTGGATCCAGAAACAAGAGAACAACCCATTAACCACTGATAAATGCACTAACTACATAGAGAAGAAGCACAAAACTTAAAATGCAGCAAAACATTGATCAGTGAGAGAATAAGCTATAGCTAGCAACAACAATCGAAAGTAAAACCACAAGGATTGCTCTAATTGCAACAATTTAAGCTTCATCAAAATTGAATATAAACCTAATTCAACCAAACAACATTGAGAAGTGAGACATTCGATGTGAATCTGAGAATGGGAGCGGAAGAGAGAACATACAGGGATAGTTCAGCGAGGGAGAGGACATTGGAGGGGCGAAGAGAGGAACAGATCCAGTCGAGAATAGGTCGAGCATCGTCGTACTGAAACGGCCACTCGAAGCTGTCGGGATCCAATTTTCCGGCGCCTTCGTAACCTAGCTCCGCCACAAGAGAGCACAGTCTCGCGCTGCTC